CTAGAAGCATTTGCCGGAAAAACCGATGCCGGTAGCGACAAAAGCTGCCGGGAACTATACAAAAAACGCACCTTTCACCGACAGCCGGTGCGTTGGCCAATTATTTAATTGAAAATTCACAGTCCGTGAAAGTATTTGAAGTAAAATGGCAGTACATTGTTACTACTTTCAGTTTACCACTGACTATGACCGAGCAGACCGATGAAGTGGGGAAGTGCTGCAATGGGGAGCAGAATGCGGAAAGTGAAAAAAGCTACGAAAAATTGGAGTTGAATGAAGTACATGAGGAAGTCTGTTTCTTTTTTTTTTTTTTTGATCTTAATGCTTTTATTTTGTTTCTCTAATTGAAGTTTTAATTGCTATCCAGTTTAAGTGTCCCGGCCTTAAGTTACCCAATTTTTGCCTGGTCATTTTAGTAATAATTTCATATCATTTTACACTACCCCTCAATGCCGTCCTCCTCCGCGCTTCAAAATTCTGACTCAGGTACTTCGGCGTGATGTAGGAGTGGCAACGGACTAGGCACCGTTGAGGCACGATGAGTTACAAACACCTTGGTAACTCTAAGCATTCGAAGTGGTACTATGCTGCGTTTTGTTAGGCTAATGTCGGGTGGCGCAGATGGTTCTCAGTCTGACCAGCAAGTAGTTATACAACAGTGGTTATGCAGCTTTGCGTAAAACCCATAACTCTTTCTGTACGAAACTAAATGAGAAATAGCATGAAATGAACAGAGGACATGCCTTTTATGCTTTGTAGCCTGCCCTAGAGTGACGGTGAGCTGCTAAAAACCTCCGGCAACCGAAAAGTTCTGGTTTGTCTGAAGTACAGATGGCGGTAGAGTGATGGACTTGATGGAATACCATGAAAAATTTTTGACGAGCACAGCAAAGGACCGAACACATCGGAACATGTCTGGAACACATCGTAACGTGGTTGGAGCTCGAAAAGGACAGAGAATTGTTGGTGGAAATGTGCAACTGAAAATCGAAGGGCGTAGCGTAGCTGTGCTTTAACTTTGGAAGTATCTCGCTAACAACACTGATTTGAAGTCCTGTACCTACTGTTCGGACAGACATGGTGTATAATCGGTGTATCACAGTATTAATTGCTCTCCTCTTTGCAATGAAATACGTTTTTG